TAAATAGTTAAATCCACTGTGGTTCAACCATAGTATGAAATACTACTCAGCAATAAAAAGGAACAAACCATTTATACATATATATTTATACATACTAGGATGGATCTCAAGGGCACTCTGCTGAGTTAAAAAAATCCTATCTCAAAAGGCCAACCAGTGGAGGGTTCTATTTTTTATGGTATTCTCCAATGACAAAATTATAAAGAATGGATTAGTGGCTGTCAGGGGTTAGAGAAGGTGGAGGAAAAAGAGTGAGTGTGACAATAAGAGGCTTTGTTTTGGATGTGCTTGTGGAGTAATTATGAATCTTATGATAGCTACACAAATATTCATGTGCTAAAATGGTACAGAACTATTACATACATTGCACCAGCATAATTTCCTGACTTTGATCGCTCTACATGGCTACATAAGGGTACACAGTACTATTTTTGTGACTTCTTATGAATATAGAATTATCTCCAAAAGTTTTTAAAATTAAATGTAGACATTTGTGATGAACATTTTCTAAGTCCTCCTTACCTAACCAGACTCAATGGAAAGGAATATTTTCTTGAGGACATGTAAAATTATGAACACAGAAGTCTGAACCTAATGGTAACATATAAATGCTCAGTTGTCTGCTCCTATTCTGTGTTCAGGGTCAACCAAATGTGATAGGCTCTATCCATTTGCTGTATCCACAGCAGCAAAAGGCTAATAGCCCTGGCCAAGTTTCTAGCAGCATGCACACTGGGAGGGGTGACACCCACGTCCATACTTCTTAGGGAAGCACTTCTTGGAGGAAGGATGATCTAGTAGTTAGAAGTGTGGCTCTTGAGCCATATAGCCTGGTCACAACATCTGTGTGCCTTTAACTGCTGTATGTCCTTATGTTTCTCATAGATTCATTGTAAGGAATGATTTGGAGGACCTGGAAGACTGGTGGCAAGAATTTCTTGGAAAGTACTCCAAATTCCACAAAACTCAAAGACATAGATCTATCAGATTTTAGCATCTATCATAGAACCATCACTGCACTAAGCTAAACAATTTTTTTCAAATTTCTTGCTCAACAAATTCACTTGAGTTACATTCTTCAGATGTGAACTGAGATTACATGGAGATGCCCAAGTTCTGCCCCTTTCTCCTACCTTAGAACACAGCTTCCCTGCCTCCGTCTCTGTCAGGTTTAGAGCTTCACAGAGCAAACCTGCCTAATCAAACTGAGGTCACACCTTTATTGTGCATCTCAATTGCAAACACCCATGTTTGAATAGAGTCTCTCCCCAGTGCCACACACAGTTGTGCTATAGTGGTGGCCATAGAAGGGATGATTTTTAATACTTCACAAGAAAATCTTCTTTTAAGAATTGAGAGCCAGAAACAATCATTCTTCCACACCATGAATGGCCATGCTTCCTTCTCTCAGAACTTGTAGGCTTATTTTTCTATGGACTTCTTTGTGATGAAAACCAGTATCACTCCTATAAACATTAGTCTCCTGCCATCATTATTTTTACTGCTCTTTACAATTACAATTTCTATTTTCATTTTAACATCTTGAGTGATTGTACAACTCTTTTTTTTAGAGAGAGAGAGAGAGAATTTTAATACTTATTTTTTAGTTTTCGGCAGACACAACATCTTTTTTTGTATGTGGTGCTGAGGATCAAACCCGAGCCGCACGCATGCCAGGCCAGCGCGCTACTGTTTGAGCACATCCCCAGCCCCAATTGCACAACTCTTAATCTCAGGTGACTATAATTCCCTAAACTGGAGAAATCTAGCAACTACAGAACACAAGGAAAGTCCCCTTAGCACTAGCATTCTGGAAACAATAATATGTTTATTTGTATCATGTTTTTTTCTATCATTTCTTTTAATGAAAAATAAAATATCATTTAAAAATTTTTAGATTAAGCAGAACCATGACCCCACTGTAACATGATTTATATATTCATTTTGTACTTGATATCATAAGTGTAAATGATGCATTTAAATTTATCTCATGGCTTTCCAATCATGATTTTTAAATGGCTTGTATTCCAACAAGTTGGAGGTATCAAATTTACAATACTTTTTTGTGTGTGTCAGCAGAGTAGCTTTAAAACTTAGAGTGCTTAATTCCCATTTCTAGTTTACATCCTAAGGGATTCCATTTAATACAATGTATGCCTCTGTTTGAAAAGTTGCCACTCCAAGTCTATGATTTTGCTTCTCTGGTAACTGAAGGAAAAAAAAGAAGAAAAAACAACTTGCCCCTAAACTACTTTACAATAGAAGCATAATTTATCTGAGCACCGCACCCTCTTCTAAGACTCCCACCAAGGAATATGCCATAGCCAGGGGATGATGCAGTAGTTAGCATCCAAATGTATGTTGAGAGCATATCCCTGTGGCAGCCTGTCAGCCACACACTACCTGCAGATAAATCCCTGCTGCCTCAAGCCTGAGCCAGGGAGTACAGGCTCATTCTTCTAAGGTCTTTCTTCATTCCCCTTAAAAACCTTTCATGTTTCCTCTTTTAAGGGTTACCTTCTGACACTTTAAGAGTCCTTTCTATTTTCATCAGCACTTTTTTTTTTCATTTCTTTGATCACCTTTCACATCTTTTCTTATTTCCTTCATATTTTTCTTTCCTCCCCACTTTGTTCTCAACCGCTCTATTTTGAAAGTCCACTGCACTTCTATTCTTCACACCATTTTTAATTATTTGACATTTCTTTCACCTTCAAGACTCTAAAATACATTCATTCTCATTATATTTCTTCTAATTATTCCAAGTTTTTCTGATTTTTCTTTTCCTGGAGGCACTGGAGTGTAGCAGCTCGGAGTACTGATGCCAGTTGCTAGGGTTCAAACCCAGCTCTGGGCTACTTACCAGATATAGGAGCCTGGATATGTTACCTAACCTTTCCACACCTCAGCTCCTATTAGTATGTTCTAAAATTTGTATCTACAGTTTTATTTAATCAGTTTTGGTAAGATATACAGGCACAGAAATGAAGGAAGAAGTCTGTATTCTTCTAGGACCAGGAAGCAAGACACAGCATGCAAAGTCATAGAGGAAAGCACCAAGGACAGTCAGGAGACAGAAGGAGAAAGCCTGGGCCAGAGTATTTCTTATGTTTTCTGCAAGAAAAGCAAAGCAGGATAGGGTAAACAGCTCAGTGTAATTGGCAAGTGTGAATAATTCTGGTGGGCTTTGAGGCATAGAGACTGTCCCTAGATGTCTGATCACTGACCCTGGGTTGATTTAGGGCAGGTAAAATACTGGCTTGGTGTGTGAAAGTCTGATACAAGAGATGGTTGAGGTGAGGGTCCTGGCTTGATTAATTTGTATAAAAAGCATGCTCCTTTGCTATCTCTAAGGTTTGGCTAGCCCTGGGAGGGACAAGTAAGATGCCTATGCTGGAGTATCGGAGAGATAGATAAATAGATAGATAGATAGATAGATAGATAGATAGATAGATAGATAGATAGATAGATGTAGGTAGGTAGATAGATATAGATATATAGAAATCACAATATCTCAGAAGGAAAATATGGTCTCATAGTCACTATGTTTGTATTTGAATAAACTAATAGTTTTTTAGTCATCATTTTCCATTCCAAATTCTAAAAAAGAGGACATTTAATTATCCCTGAACAATCCAAGCTGGTTTTGGCTAATGGAGCAGATAACGTTGTAAAAAAAAATAGTACTCCTAAGAACCACCACTGTGGATCAGGCTGTGGGAAAACATTTAAAATAGAGAAGTCATCACTACTGGGCTTCATAGAAGGACACTGTCTTACTCAGTTCAGGATGTTATAACAAAGTACCATAAATCAGTTGGCAGATAGACAACAGAAATTTATTTCTCACTCTTCCAGAGGCCAGAATTCTAAAATTGGGGTGCCAGCATGCAAGATTCTGGTAAGGATTCTCTTTTAAATTACAGACTACTGACTTCTTGCATCTTCACATAGCAGAAAGAGATCAAATAGACCTCCAAGGATTTTTTTTAAATGACACTAATCCCATTAATTAGAACTCCTTATGACATAATTATCTCCCCAATTTTTTTTCTTTTCTTTTTTTTTCTTTTTATGAGAGAGAGAGAGAGAGAGAGAGAGAGAGAGAGAGAGAGAGAGAGGGAGGGAGGGAGGGAGGGAGGGAGGGAGAGGGAGAGGGAGAGATGGTCTCACTAAATTGCTCGGGGCCTTGCTGACTTGCTGATGCTGGCTTTGAACTTGCAATCCTCCTGCCTCAGCCTCCCAAATCACTGGGATTACAGGCATGCACCACCACAACCTGGCCCTCAATATATGAATTTTTGAATTTTTGAGGGACACAATATTCATTCAATGACATCCTATGTATAAAATACTGAAAAGAGTTGTCAAATTCTTGACAGATATGTAATTATAGAATTTGTTGCATCCCAGGGACAGGCACTGACTGTAAGAGCCTTATCCAACAAGGCCTACTTAGCAAAGATCTCTAATGAAACATCTGTTTGAATCATTCTTTCAGTGATTCCCTCCTGTTAGAAAGGTAAATTCACAAAAGCGGAAACCTAGAAGCTTGGTTGGCACTGAGAGATTGGTGTTGCTAACCAGATTCCGTGTAAATGTGGCAAACAGATTCTCTACCCTAGTAATTTGGAACAACTAAACAGGTGCCACCTAGAGAACTAAATTTTCCCAATGTAATTATGTTAATTAACATTTCCTAGAGATTCATTGCAAGGTCCATTTGGGCCTGCCCCCAGTCCTACACTTCTAATTCAAAAGTTGTGTTCATCTAAACAATGAACATCACTAAAAAGTGAGTTTAGATAGGGATACCTACAGCTGAGTTGATCTGGCCCAAGGGAAGTACCAAAGTGGAGGACAGACTGGGAGTCTGCCCACCTGCAGCTTGTTTCAATCAGAGCCAGATGAGCTGTGGGTGGAAATCCTTCCAACTGCTACAGACTTCAGCCAAAGCTTTAAATTCAGAGTGAACTGGATATGGGCTAGGGCCATGTAAAATGGAGATTGAGTTGCCTGATGTGCCCTTGGTGAAAATCTTCTCCTATCTGTATGCCTTGAGCTTGCTACAGGCTTCGCAAGTGAGCAAGGTAAAGGCTCGAGTCTCTACTGCTTTGACAGAATTGACCAGCTTCCTGCCCACACTCCTCTACCTTGTCAGACCCCTTCCACCTCTCAGCCTCAGCCATGGATCTTGGCTACCCCAGCATTATACCCACACAGCCTTCCTTCATTCCCTAAGTTTACTTTGTTCAGATCCACCCACTTAGCTCTGATACCAGTGTCCCTAGAATCCATTCACGTCTCTTAACCATTTGTGCATCAGTTTGTAGAATAGCAAAATACTTTGAGGGTTTGGGGGTAGTCCTCATTCACTGAGTGCCTCACATTCTGTTAAATGGAAAGGATAAGCTGATACACAGGACTTATTTTTGACTAAATGATCCTTGAGGTTCCTATTTCAAGTCCTAGAAAATCACTTCTTTCTCTGAACTCTCACAGGAATATGGAGTGCCTGGATTAGCAATGATAGGTCTCTGCTGTTCCTACTTCCCTCTCTCCAGACTGGGAAGGCATTGAGAGCTGGGATTGTGTCAGATTAATCTTTGTGGGTCCAGCCCCGAGAATAAATGCAAGCAGAAGAGAAGCCAATGTTTGTGTATTGATTGCTTATCCATTGCCTTCTCTGGAGGGTAAGGTGGGAAGGGAAGAGGAAGCCATCTAATTGTGTATTTGCGCTGTGTACTTTGGTCTGTGTGCATCTGTGTTGTGGGAGGCCCACAGAAAGGTTAGCATGAATAAAGGGTTCATATGATAACAGTGGCTCTGAGGAGATGAGCTGAGGGTCACCTGATAGGATTATGACTCCTGTTTCCAGGAGGATGTGTCTAAAGAAATGGCACTTCTGCAACTTCACCTATGAGCACCTGGGCACACAGACATGGAAGCAGTTATTCCTCCACCAAACAAAACAGGATCATCGGATGGCATGTGCACAGCCGGAAGACTTTATCTACAAAGAAGCAGCTGGGAACCTTGATATGCCTTGGAGAAGCATGATAAACTTGTTTTCAGAGGTCTACTCTATTTTTCCCCATATGCACTTTTGTGTTCTCATTAGTGAAAGGGAAAAGGGATTAAAATTTAATGTGCCTGGGTTGCTGTGATAGCCACATCACCAGTGCTCCTGCTTCCTGTGTCTGTACAGAATGAAGAAACCAGAGTGATTGTTTCACAACATAAAATAGGACTCTACTACTCTCTTTTTCCAAAGGTTTCTACCAGTCCTAGAAAAAAATATTTTTTCTGGGGGGGGGGGGGAATTAATGGATAAACTCCTAAATAGCAAAGGCTCTACTGTTCATTTTATCCCTAATACCTCTTTTAATACTTGTAACAGTTCTCTGAAGAGTTTTTTAAAGAGCATTATAGTTGTACATGGTAGTTGGGTTCATTCTGACAAAACCATATATACAAGGAATTTTATTTTAATCCCCATTCTCCCATCTCTTCTCTTTCTTCCTCCCTCCCCTTATTCTCCTTCCTCTACTCATCTTCCTTTTGTTCATTTATTTGTTTGGTTGGTTTTTGGTACTGGGGATTAAACTCAGGGGCATTCAATCACTGAGTCACATACCCAGCCCTATTTTGTATTTTATTTAGAGACAGGGTCTCACCGAGTTGCTTAGCACCTCACAGTTGCTGAGGCTGGCTTTGAACTCACAATCCTCCTCTCTCAGCCTCCCAAGCCACTGGGATTACAGGCATGTGCTACCATATCCAGCTCATTTATTTTTGACTGGTACTTTCTATATATTCATAAATGTGAAATTCCCTTTGGTACATTTATATATGCATATAACATGATTTTTCAAATTTATTATATATTTTCATAGAGAGATTCTAATATCCATTAATCTATGGATTAATTCTAATACCCATTAATCTATGGAAACAGATTAAAGAGAAAAAGTAAGTTTTCCAATATCTCCTAATCACCAATCACCAATCTGTAACAGAACCCAGGTTTGACTGACTCTAAAGCCCAGTTTCTGTCTTCCATAATTGCTACCCAGAAAAGCTTAAAATTATCTTTATTTGGTTTGAATGATCCCTCTACTATCTGGTGGCCAAGTAGTGTCTATGTTTCCTTCCAGGAATCTTGGGACCAGTGGCTTATGTCTCAGGAAGTAGATTCACACTAGATGAACAAGGGAAGTCAATCATTTGTATTGTGTCTTCAATGTGCAAACTTTATACCTGGGATGTGCAAGAGGTGAGTCAGGCAAAAATAATATATACCTGTGACATGTGAAATAGTGCTGAGAGGAAAATGATACTTGGAGTTGATAACAAAGTTTCAAGACAGCTTTTCTTTTTTAAAGTTTATTTTTATTGGTGCATTATAATTATACATAATAGTGGGATTCATTATGCCATATTTGGACATGCACATGACATAATTTGGTCAATCACATTCCCCAGTACTTTCCCTTTCCCTCCCCTCCTTCCTCCCCTGATCTACTTTCTCTATTCTACTGATCACCCTTCTATTATTACTTTAATTAGTGCATTATAATTATATATAAAAGCGGAATTCATTATGGTGTAATTATATATGGATATATATATACACTGATTTGGTAGATTTCATTCCCAGAACTTCCTCATGCCCCACCTCTCACCTTTTCCCCTCCCTAATCCCCTTCTTCTGCTTCACTGGACTCCCTTCTATTTTTATGAGATTTCCCTCTCCCCCACCCCCATCTTTTTTTTTTTTAATTCTTTCCCTCCTTCTCTTCCCTCTTTCTTCGGGGGGAAATTCTATCTTTGAGTTTGAACCTGGCTGATTTCACTTAGCATAAAGTTCTTCAGTTCTATCCATTTACCAGCAAATGACATAATTTCATTCTTGTTTATGGCTGAATAAAACTCCATATGTTATATGTATGTGTGTAATATATATATGTATATAAACATCATTTTATTTGTTTAAGGTGTGGATATACTTCATTATTTCAAAGACAAATGGGTTGGACCCAACAGCTTGCTCTTAACTATTAAGCACACTTACTTTTTTAGAGTATTATAGTTATATATAATAGTGGAGTTCATTTTGACACATTCATAATGTATCATAATTCATAATGACACATTCATAAATTTTTCTCCTCTTCCCTCCCCTCCTTCCTCCCCCTGACTCCCCTTCTCTACTCTATTGTTCTTCCTTCTATTTATTTATTTACTTATTTTGTAATTGGTACATTATAATTATTGTTCTAATTTAGATATGAGATGTCCTCCAAAAGCTCCTGTTAACGCAGGAATATTCAGAGGTAAAATGATTATGAGACTGTCACCTAATCAGTTCATCCTAGTTTGAATAGACTGACTAGATGGTAACTATAGGTAAGTGGAATGGCCTATATTAGGTAGGTGGATCACTAGGGGCATGCCCTGGAAAGGTGCATCTTCCCTGTGGTCCCTTCCCCCTCCCTCTCTCTGCTTCCTCACTTTACAGAGAGTTGTTTAGTTTTTCTCCACTGGGCCCTTCCCCCATGATGTGCTGCCTCACTTTGGGCCCAGAGCCATGAGTTGGCTGCCTGTGGACTGAGACCTCTAAAATCATGAGTTCCACATAAACTTTTCTTTTTCTAAGTTGTTGTCAGGTATTTTGGTCACAATGATGAAAAAGCTAACTAGCCGGATGTGGTTGCCCATGCCTATAATCTCAGAGGCTTGGGGGCTGAGGCAGGAGGATCACAAGTTCAAAGCCAGCTTCAGCAATTTAGCAAGGCCCTAAGCAACTTAGCGAGTCCCTGTCACTAAATAAAAAAAAAAATTTTTAAAGCCTGGAATGTGGCTCAGTGGTTAAGCAACCCTGTGATCAATCCCCCGACACACACACAAAAAAAAAAAAAAAAAGAAAGAAAGAAAAGGAATGCTAACTAAAACAGAATGCATTGTGATATATTCATACATGTGCATAGCATAATTTGGTCAATTTCATATGCCAGTTTCTCCCCTTTTCCTCCTCTCCTCCCTCATCCTTTCTCCACTGTTTCTACTTTACTGCTCTCCCCTGTTTTCATGAAATATCCTTTCTTATTTCTTTTTTTCCTCTTTAGCTTCCACATATGAGAGAAAAAGCTCCACCCTTGATTTTGAGCCTGGCTTATTCACATAATATTATGTTCTCCAGTTCCATTCATTTACCAGCAAATGACATAATTTCATTCTTTATGGTTGAGTAGAACTCCATTTGTGTGTGTGTTTGTGTGTTTGTATGTGTATGTTTATCCATTAATTGTGTGTGTGTATGTGTGTATCCATTCATATGCTGATGGACACCTGGGTTGGTTCCACAATTTGGCTATTATGCCTTGTGCTGCTATAAACACTGATGTGCATATATCACTATAGTATGCTGATTTTTAGTTCTTTTGGATAAATGCCAAGGAGTGAGATAGCTGAGTCATATGGTTGTTCCATTCCTCGTCTCCATTCAGCTTTCCAAAGTGATTGCACCAACAATGCATAAAAGTATCTTTTTCCAGCCAAGTACAGTGGTGCACACCTGTATTCCCAGCAGCTCAGAAGGCTGAGGTAGGAGGATCACAAGTTCAAAGCCAGCCTCAGCAAAAGCAAGGAACTAAGCAACTCAGTGAGACCCTATCTCAAAATAAAATACAATATAGGGCTAGGGATGTGGTTCAGTGTTTTAATGCCCCTAAGTTCAATCCTTATTACTCACCCCCCAAAAAAGTATCTTTTTCCATGGATGAGAGGGTAATATGGTATGATATCCATCACCACATTGATTGCCAGGGTTGATTTGACTGATCTGGCTGGCTAAGCAGGTGTTCCCTTCCATTCCCCAACTCTTGTTTTTATCACATCTTTTAAGAATCAGTTGGCTGTAAATGCATAGAATTATTTCTGGGTTCTCTATTCTGTTCTGTTCTATTCTGTTCCCTTGGTATATGTATCTGTTTTTATGTCAATACTTGGGTTTTTTATTGTTTGGTTTGGGTTGGGTTGGGTTTTATTTGGTTTGATTTTGTTATTGTTGTTTTGGTACTATGGCTCTGTAGTATGTCTTGAAATCAGGTATTGTGTGATCTCCAGCAATTCTCTTTTCACACAAGATTGCTTTGACTATTGTGGGTCTTTTATTCTTCCAGATGAATTTTAGTATTGTATTTTCGGGTTCTGTAAAGAATGTCATTGGTATTTTGATGGGATTGCACTGAATCTGTAGATTGCTTTGGGTAGTATAGGCACTTTAGCAATAGTAATTCTTCCAAACCATGAACATGGAAGTTTTTCCATCTTTTAATGTCTTCATCTTCAATTTGTTTCTTCCATGTTTTAAAATCTTTCGTGCCTGGCTATTGTGAGTGGGATTGCTTTCATGATTTCTTTCTCAGCAAATTGGTATATATTGGTATATGGACAAGCTACTGATTTCTATGTTGATTTTCGTATCCTCCTACTTTATTGAATTTATCAGTTGTAATGGTCTTTTGGTGGAGTCTTCAGGTGTGTATTTGTATAGAATCATATCATCCACAATCAGGGATAATTTGACTTCCTCCTTTCCTATTTATATGTCTTTTATTCTTTCTCTTGCCTAATTGCTCTAAAATTTCTAGTACTATGTTAAATAAGAATACTAAGAGTGGACACCCTTGTCTTATTCCTTAAATAAACAAGTTTTACCCCATTCAGTATAATGTTGGCTATAGGCTTGAAATATATAGTGCTTAATATGTTGAAGTATGATTCTTCTCTACCTAATATGTTCAAGGATTTTTATCATGAAAGGATATCAAATTTTATTGAAATGCTTTTTTTCTGCATCTATTTAAGTGATCATATGATTTTCATCCTTGATTCTGTTTGTGATGTGTATTAATTTTCATATGTTGAACCATTCTTGATTCATATTAGTTTTCATGAAACCAATTTGACCATGGTCTACGATATTTTTGATGTCCTGTTGAGTTTGATTTGCTAGTATTTTGCTGAATATTTTTTCATCTATGTTCATCAAGGATATGTTCTCACAGTTTGAGAAGCATTGTGTTAAATGTTTGGTAAGCCAGGCTCAGTGATGCTCATCTATATTCCCAGTGACTCAGGAAGCTAAGGCAGGAGGATCACAAGTTCAAAGCCAGCTTCAGCAACTTAGTGAAGGCCTAAGTAACTTATATAGCCCTTACTATGTTGAAGTATGCAAGACCCTGTCTCAAATTTTAAAAAATAAAATAAAAAAGGCTGGGGATATGGCTGTGTGTTTAAGCACACCTGTGTTCAATAGCTGGAAGAAAGAAAGAGAGAGAGAGAGAGAGAGAGAGAGAGAGAGAGAGAGAGAGAGAGAGAGAGAGAGAGAGAGAGAGAGAGAGAGAGAGAGAGAGAGGAAGTTAGTTAGTTAGTTAGTTAGTTGAGTAAGAGGCTAGAGTTGTAGTTCAGTGATAGAGCATTTGCCTAGAATGCACAGGGTCCTCGGTTCAATCCTCAACCCAAAAAATAAAAAAATAAAAAGTTTAGTAAAATTCAATAGTGAAGCCTTCTGGTCTGGATTTTTCTTTGCTGGAAAACTATACTACTGATTCAATTTCATTTATTGTCATTGGTCTATTCAAGTTTTTTATAGCTTCTTACTTCAATTTTGGTAAGCCATATAGGTCCATAAATTTGTTTATTTCCTTTAGATTTTTCCAATGTTTAGCAGCTTTTCAAAATAATTCCTAATAATCTTTTAAAAGTCCAAATGTCTATATTATCAGTTATAATATCTCCTTTTTACCTCTAATTTTATTTACTTGGGTCTTCTTATATGATCTCTAGTTTAAGATTTGACAAATTTATCTTTTCAAAGAACCAACTCTCTTTCATTGATCCTTTGTATTGTTTTTAGGACTCTATTTCATTTATTTCTACTCCCATCTTTATTATTTCTTTCCTTCTAATTTTGATTATGTTTTATTCTTGCTTTTCTAAGATCTTGAGATGCATAATTATGTTTACATTTTTATTTTAAATCTTCCTCTTTTTTAATTTAAGCACTCAGTGCCATAAACTTTCCTCTTAGTACTGCTTTTGCTGTAAGACGTAGGTTTCTGTATATTGTTTCCATTTTCATTTTTTTCAAGGAATTTTTTTAACTTCCCTTCTGACTTCCTCAATGACCTGCTATTTGCTCAAAAGTGTGTTGTTCAGCCTCCATGTATTTGTGTAATTTCTAAAGTTTTCCTTGCTGTTGATCTCTAG